GATCGTGATGTGCGAGGGCGCCAAAGTGACAGTGCTCGCCTGCACCGTGAGTGCTCTTCATCTGCACCAGCATCGAGGCGGGATTGGCCTTGTTGGAGGAGAGGAGACGCTTTGACAGTTCGTCTGGCTGGCCTTTCATAAAGTGATCATCTTCCGCATCGAGGATGAGCGTTGGATGAGAGATGAGCTCGGCCAAGCCGTTGCGCAGATGGTAGTGGGAAATTTTGCGGAGCAGATCCGAGGCGCTCTTTGCGCCCAATGTCCACAAACCGTTTTGCTGACCCCAACGAATGCCCGTATCAAAGGCAGCCGCTGGCCAAGCGAGCCAGTCGAACAGACGATCCCAACGAGGATCGGGAAAGATGCGGTTGGCAGGCCAAGGGACGTTTTTGGTGAAGCTGCTACCGAAATCGTACACGCCATCGTTGAGGATGAGGGCGGCGATGCGAGGACCATCTTGGCGTTGCGCATCGAAAGCGGCTGCGCGCGCAGCGAGGTAGCCGCCCATGGACCAGCCGTACAGCACGAGCTGGTTGGTGTCGATTTGGGGCAAGTCGAGCTGGTGCACGTGATCCAGCACGCTATCCACCACGGCTTCCCAGTCCGATCTAAAGGTCAAGCCGAGCTTGCGCAGAGCAGCGCCTTGACCTGGACCGTCGAACGTGAGAAAGTTGTAGCCCCTGGCTAGCGCGGAATGACCGAGGGCTAGATAGGCTTCCTCCTTGGTGCCATCGTAGCCTCCGTTGAGGATGATGGTGGGTCGAGCAATTGCAGTCGCAGTCGCGGCATTGTCATTGGCATTGGCATCGACATTGGCATTGGCATCTTTGGATGCGTGGGTGATGAGGTAGCCTGGCAATGTGCAGGTCTGCTTCTCTTGCGGTCGCGAGCGTGTTTGCTTGATGGTGTAGGTGTAAGGGATGGCGAGCTTGCGGTAGGTGTAGCGCTTGTCGAGTTGCATTGCGCTCAGAAAGCAATCGACGCTCTGCTGGTACAGCCTATCGGAATCCGCATCCTGCAAGCCTCTTGACAATTTGTCGCGCAAAAAGAAGTCGGCAGTGCGAGCATAGTTGCTGGCTCGAAGAAAGGCCAGCTTGGCATCCAAGTCGTTTTGCGCGCTCAAGCTCCTCCTGGCCAGCGCTTCTGCGCGCAATGCGGCCAGTTCAAACGCTTCCCTCCACCTCTCTTCAGCCTTGCCGCTGCTGCCGCGGCCGCGGCCGCGATGATGCGCATCCGCTCCCTCCCCTCCCAACCACCTGCTGCCGCTCTTCACCTTGCCGCAGATGGCCAGCACTTCGCCCACATCACCTCCACCGCTGTGCGAATAGCTGGCAGCTCGAAGCGCCTCGAAATCGAATGCCTTGTCGCTGAAATGGAAGCGCATTCTTTTTCTTCTTGTTGCGTCTTGCGTTTTGCGTGGGTGAATAACTTGCGTGTTGTATGCCCTGCTGGATTCAAGATTGCTGGGATCGTTTGCGAGGTGATGGTGTAGCATTAGGAAGAAGGTGTGCTGTGCGTGGCTTTGCGCGTTCTTCTGCGCTAACACAAGACTTTCAACGGCGCGCGAGTGCATGGCACGAGACATTGGTATAGTCACATTCACATGCACATTCACATGCACATTCACATTGTGCAGTGGTGCCTGTACGCCGCACACCTTCGATTCGAGTGCCGGGTGGCAAAGGCCTCGTGCATGCAACTCCATCGAAGGGGATGATGGATGGATGCATGGATCGAATGAGTGAATGAACGTCCCGATCCTCATTGCGCCCACAGTCACAGTCACAGTCCACTTCATTAATAAAAGCGCCCACAGTCACGGCCCACTTCATTAATAACAGCGCCCCACAGTCACCGCCTTTTCATCCAAAATCCAGATTAATTGCAACCCCGCCGTCCGTGCGGTGCGTTGCTTGCATGGACATCCGCGGATGTTCACTCGATCGGCAAGCAAGCATGCAAGCAAGCAAGCAAGCATGCACGCCTGCATGCAGATCCACTCACGCCATGATCGACAGTCACAGTGGTGCGCGTGCGCGTGCGCGTGCGCGTGGGCGTGCGCAGGCAGGCAACGTGGACAGCAGGAGGCGGGCGCACCTGCGTTGGTTTGACCTATGCAACTCACACTTTTGTTACTCCAAGTGTACGTGACTCTTGACTGTGTCTGACCCTCTGACTGGTGGCCGCACGCCGTGATGAGAGTGCGAGTAAGGGTAAGAGTAAGACTCACAGTGAATGCAAATCAAATGTGAATCTTTGAACCTCATTTGGCTGCGCATCCGCATCCGCCTCCTCTTCTCGCCTCCGCCTTGGCGCATCATCATCATCACCACCACACTCTCCTCTATGCAAAGTGCTCAAGATAAGGAGAATCAAAAGAGTCTCGGCTGAACAGCAGCATCAAACATCAGGATTCGTCATTGAGCCCAGCAAGCGCGGTCCGACACTCCATCTTGAAAGGCAAGGGCAGAGGCAAGCAGGCAGGCAGGCAGGCAGGCAGGCAGGCAGGCAGGCAGGCAGGCAAGCAGGCAGGCAGGCAGCTCATGGGCGGCAGTCGTATAGAAGAAAACATTTCCATTGTCCCCA